CTAATTGGCAAAAATTAAGTCCGTTATCTTTTGAGGCAGCCAGAGGCGTAACATACCAAGATTCAGGAAAAACACTTTGAAATCCATGATGCCGCTATCGGGGATTTCGGCAGGAAAGTGTTGACATTGACTTTTTCATCTATTAATAATTGTACGGTGGTGAAATTAACGACACTAAAGTTTTCAGAGTATAATGTATCATCTTGCACTAATTAGTTTGTTTCAATTTAGTGCACCTTTCCAAAAATTGACGCTGGAGTTGCCCTTTGAGGGTATTCCTGGAAGAACAGGCGCTTCGAGCGAGCGTCAAAGGGTGGTCACGTTACATTTACAATCCCGTGTTTGTAAAACATGTGAGTCCGCAGGCTGCTGCTCTGGGTGAAGTTCTGCTTGCACTGGTGGCACGTGAAGGGCCGTTCGCCCGTGTGGCAGCGCTTGTGGCGGTTGAGGTTGCTCGGGTCGGTGAAGGCTCGCGGGCACATGCTGCAGCGGAAGGGGCGCTCGCCCGTGTGCACCCGCGCGTGGATGCGCATGTAGCTGCGGCTGCTGCACCGATAGCCACACTGGTTGCACTGGAGCGGGCGGCGGTTGTAGATGGCGTCGAGGCCCGGCTGCGACCTCTCGTTCCAGGGAACTACCAGGGTAACTGCGCAACGGCGACGATAATTAGTATGTTTTCTCGGTGCGAGGGCCAGGTTTGGCCAAAGGGCACCAGACATGTAATGGGAATGAGTGGACAACGTGATATGGGTTCGTCAGTGTAAATGGCTGTACTTAAGCCTGAAATTGCTCTACTAAACATGTACAAAGCAGAAATCCATTTGAATTACAGCAATAGTGAGAGGTTAGCTATAGCACTAAAGTAGATGTGATAATGACCGAGACAAACCTACTTTGTAAAGCTGTTAAGAAGACTGGGCGTTCAAACACGAGCCCAAGAAGGAAGTTAAGACCCCACAAGTGCTAACAACTTTAAAGGCGTTCAGTGGTGAGTATATTATTACCTCCTATATAGACCAACACACGTGCTGGATCGATAGGTATCTCCTCTTGCCTGTGCATGCGCAGGTGATTTTTTGTGTCTACCTTCCTTTCCACCACTTTTTTGCATTCCCAACCTTCTGTACTTGAGCCTAATTTGTAAGTATGGCTGGGTGTTTATAAGTAACACTAATGCCTCGTTACAGCCCTTGAATGGAAGAGTCGAGAGGCAAGTGCAGTAATTACCACAGCCACCACGGCAGCATCTGAAAACATGCTGCCACTGTCATCATCACGCGCGTCATTTTGTTGTTAAAGCACTAGCATCGTGTCTAGCGCGCTTGCATTACGAGCGGGGGTAGTCTATAAGGACATCGCAGGTATTACTTGAAGCAACTAGCTCTTTTTTTTTGTACGTCCCGCAACTTATAAAGACGGCAAATGCAAAACTGATCTCTACAAGCGCAGGGATGGCAGGTCCACCTGTAAATCAGGTGTGTCTACGCAAAACACATTGCTTTCTTTTGTGATAAACCAGCACTAACCAGTGTGACTTTCTGTTGCATTAAAACAGCTTTGTACAGGGTGAGTGAAAAGACATTCACTTTCGTACTCCAGGCAGTGACATCGGGGTGTTTCGTTACTACTTCATCGAGCAACGAATCCACACCATGCGAACAGCTTGCAACAAATGGTTCAGTTTCATGCTTCAAACTGCCACAGTTACCATGGTGATGTTTCTAAAGAGTTTGCAAGGAATTTGTTCAGTACTTTCATAATGGCGAATGATCAACCAATACCCGCAAACTTTTGTTCATGTTGGATATTGAGCAGCCTTAGATAATGCGAGACATATGCTTTTCTTTTTGCTCTCTGTATTTGGGCATCATTATTGAATCATCTTACGATCCTTTGGCAACAAAATTGCTGCAAAGTGCTGATCTTCTGTTGCAATAGTTACCTTTTTTTAACGTTTGGCCAAATACATGCACACTGAAGCCATTTACTTTACCTGTTTATTACCTGCTGTAATATTAGGACATTATATTAAGCATTAGCTTTACTAGTTACCTATGAATACAGCTCAATCTAAACACTTAGCTTGGCTTTAGTGTTCCCTTAACAACCGGAGGTCACTGGAGCACCACACTATAGCGTGTTGGAGGTTATCGTTGAAACGCAACCTAATACAGGCTTGAGCTTTCTCGCCAACCAAACCCCTCTTGCCATAACAGGCTCACCAAACAAATTTTCAGAGATGAAATGTTAACAAAATTTATTCAGGCCTCTTAATGCTACTCTCGGCATATCACTCTAGAATAAGTGGTTTGCTGAATTCCACACATTTAAAGAGAAAAGAAAAATCTGAAATCTTTTTGGTAACAAAAACGAGCATGAAAATTGACCCAGCATGCCCATTCTTGGCAAGTGCACCCACCCATAACTCACTGTTGACACAACATTCTTAAATTAACAGACAACACCTTTAGGGCTGTGGTATTACAGCACACACAAAAAAAAAAAAAACTGGGTTAGGAAATATGCACGCACCTGAAGACTGCAACCTTCCATTACTATGCTCAAAACTCTAGTGCGCATGAAAAAAATATATATATGTAGTGTACATTTGGTTCGCTTTGCAATGTTATGGCCGCTAAAGAACAAGCTGAAAGACCTAACAAGTATGACTTATCAAGCATCTTGTATGCAGATGAGTTGACCAAAGAAATCTCGGCTAGACAAAACAGATCGCTCATTCTCTCAAGAACACTGTAGATAGCTTCCGCATGTCATCAAACCTAATCGTGAAGGGACCCCTCACCTGGTTTCGGGAGTCGATCATGCTAAAATTTTGCTGAACTAATTAAGTGCTGGTGTCCCCAGTTCAAGACATCATTGGCCCCGGCCATTTAGCAAGCAAAGAAAGCAAGTGCAAGGTGTGGCGGCGATTGTCTGCAAGGTACTGCACTGCAGCATGTTGCAAAAATGGCTTAAAACTTCTGGAGTCCCCATGTGCCCTGGCTTTCGTAGGAACTTGTTTCCCAACCAGCAGAGATAATGTTGCAGCGCTGAGAAAAATAGGGGAAAAATGTCAGCTACGGGTGCTGATCAAGGCTCTGGGAAGGTGCTGCAGAAGACAGCTTGCCAATCTTACGACAGCCTGCCATGGTACTTCAGAGAATGAGGTGCTGCACTGCTAAGATTGGCAATGCAGTCAGCTACGGGTGCTAATCAAGGCTCTGGGAAGGTGCTGCAGAAGACAGCTTGCCAATCTTACGACAGCCTGCCATGGTACTTCAGAGAATGAGGTGCTGCACTGCTAAGATTGGCAATGCAGGTTTGGTTCCCAGCCATGGCAGCCGCACTACAATGGGGACAAAATGCGGACACCCACAGAACGCTTACGTTTAGGTGCACATTGCAGAAACCCCAGCTCATCAAAATTACTGTCGAGTTTAACACTACATTGGTCCTAAAAAAATTATGTCACGGTCTTGACAAGTAAAATCCTAAAACATTATTGAATCTTATGACGATGATCTCTAGCCTTTGTGGATAACAATAGCTGCTTGTTATGAATTGGATGATGAATGATTTTCCTGCAAATCTGAACTGTACAAAGTTATCGCCTTCCCATCACCTCTCTTGCTTTTTCAACATGTCTTGTCTCCCTCTGATGAGGCTGGGTGAGGGGCACTCCACATTTAGTTCATAACACTGTTCTGGTAAACATGCTATGGCTTAATGCCCCTTATCAGCGTAGAGGTAATAATGCAATCAATAGGACTAGCAAAAGCACCTGTTCAAAACAGTGCAGTTACTGTAGTAACATAGTGCGCTGTACAGTATTTTTCAAGTAATGCCCAAAAGGACACATTTAAACAGCGTTTTCTTTGGTGACAAGTGCCTCACACTCTTTACAGGTAAAGCAACTTAGTGTGATGTGTGCTTAATAATGAGACATCATGAAATGACAGTAATGAAAGAGTATGCAAAGAAAGGTAGGTTAGGAAGCCTACTGAAACAAAATGGGCAGTAAATTTCATTCGTGGTGGGAAAAAAAAGAAAAAGAAAACTTGCTCCAGAAATATTTCGTGTGAAGTCATGCCTGGTGACGATGGCTTCAGATCTAGCAGCATGGTTCTCCTTTCAACAAACTCGTTGGTGTTGATAGATTCCAGGAAGACATTACGTATGAAGGTGAATCGTTGTTTAGCTACCACTTGAAACAAGCATAAATCTTCAGGATGGTAAAGAGATTGGCATACTTCATTTTCCCCAGAGTAGTACTAACTATTGCAATGCAAAACAGACTAGATTGCTTGGAAAAGAGGACAAGCTGTCATTATTCTTGGTCCTCTCGTATTATTTCACGCTGTAACACATCGTGCAGCAAAGAGCACCCTCGCAACCAGTCGAGTGTCCTGAATTTGTGTGCAAAAGTAAATTTAGCAATTTACAGAGTTTTCAATGCCGGGCACATCGTGTGGCAGAGGTTAACTGTACCACAAGAATGGCATGTGTGCAGGATGGTGCAAAAGCAAGCAAGAAGGTGCGATAAAGTAAAATGGCTGTTAACCCAGAAAAATGTACGAATCTTCCAAGTTGGTTACGCACATCTGAGAACATCAGCACTTGTGATGTCATCTTGCGATATCCCAAATAATCATGCGTAACGTACTAGAACTATGAAGACTTTTGCTTTCAGTACAAAAAAGACACACATGTTCCTTGACAGTAGCTAAACACTTGTGTCACATGCATCCAGGCTGATACTTGGAACACAGTGATCCTGTCAAACATTCTTTTGCTTAACTGCAACATCGCAAGATGTGACCACAAATGCCCCAAGCTGTTCACATCTTTGCCTTGTAACACATAATTACAAAGGTGTGCCAGTTTGAATACTAAGTACGCCAGAACAGGTTGAGCACAGCCACGCAAAGTCTCGGCAGAATCACTGTCACAGTGGTGTCGCAAACATTGTGCGCGACATCCGAAACCACCACCAACGCGCGTCACCACTGCTTGTGCTGTCCGAGCACGTGCGTCTTGAGCGAGCTGGTCTGGTTGAAACGCAGGCCGCAGTGTTTGCACTCGTAGGGGCGCTCGCCCGTGTGGCAGCGCCGGTGCCGGTTGAGGTTACTGCGGTCCTTGAACTTCCGCGAGCAAAAGCTACAGTGGTAGGGCTGCTCCCCCGTGTGAACTCGAATGTGGCGTCGCAGGTAGGCACGGTTTCGTGCAGTTGTACTCGCAGTGCGGGCACTGTATCCGCACCTCCTCGTCGGGAAACGGCTCGAGGCACTGCGCGAGGGAGTACACAGCTCCCAAAATGAGGGTGTCCTCCTCGTCTGCGCAGAACAGTCGGGAAAGACATAGAGTTACTTACAACAACTGTCTTTGAAACCAAACAAAAAGGGGCCCTGCGACGCTCCCTGAATATTATGACACAACCGGTTAGACCACTGGGCAGTTACTTTATGGGTACTCAACCCAAACATTCCAGCAGATACAACCACCAGTTTTGCTTGAAAGATTTTTTTACTGCTTAAAACTATTGTTGTCTAGTCGGCCAGATTTCTGTTCTCACCGAAACTAATCACAGCTGCCTGCCCTGGCCCAAAAACAAAAAGACCTGAACAAGTGATAACGCAGTGATGCCACGTGATTGAAGATAATGCCGATCTGCAAACACTATTTATTGCCTCTATGATCAGGCAACACCATTAACCAATCTTTGAGCCAGTAACAGCTCTCATTGCACTGATCGTCGGGAAGGGCTGGCATTGCTCCATGCCAGCCAAAACCAATATTTTAGCAAGTTGGTGTCTTTAAACAATTACATATGTTCCTTACAAGGCATTGCAGGGCCCCTCTGAGTGCCAACCCACGCAATTTAAACATGTTGATTTATTACTTCATTTAGTAAGATATGTCACTGCAATAAACGACTCTAGATAAATGATTTCACTCATTAAGGAGAAAGGAAGGAGAAAGGACAGGGAGGTTAGCCAGTTGTTAATATGCCCTCTATGATAAAATTAACAGAACCAGATCTAATGTGCTGGGTCTTAAAAGCAGAGAAAATCTATCTTTGAACATGGTACAAAACCTATTCGTCAAAGGGAAAAATGAAATGCAACAATGTGTGGCCTCCCTATGGGCACTGTATTCTTTTTTAAGCTTACTTTCAAGTAGGTCATGTCCCATCGTTTCAACACATGAAAAGAGCAAGTATTGAAAGGTTTAACAATCTTTCAAGCACTTTTGCATGCATAAACAAATGTAATTAGGCAAAGAAAAGCAATATTGCTTTTGCATGATAACAAATAGATGAACACAACTTCCTTCCTGGCAACATGCTAATCATTCAATAATTCAGAAACCCCACAACAATGCACACACTGGCCTAGCTATTGCTAGCACCTTAATTCAAAAAAATCCAAAAAGTAATTCATCGCAAGAGTAACACAACGATTCAACTCCTTTCATTCTTGATCTTTGTCAATGGCACTATTTGCGTCCCGTCAATCACCATCACGAGGATTGACCAGTCGATGCTTTGTGGCTGACAGGAATGACTGAAAGTAACTGTTACATTACACTGGCAGTCTTTCTGGTGTTACTATGTGAAAACACGCACACCGTTCAAATGAGAACGACCATATGTGCACTCAAATCCGAATAAGTGAGAGAAATACGAGCAGTGGTGAGGAGAAACGTATCTCGGGGATACTGCAATACTGCAAGATCGACCTACGCTATGCTCTATTCACACACAACGCAACAACATATAACTTTGCAGTTCGCCAATTACCTACTTCTCTCGAGCATTTGTTAATGCTTCTAATTATTTTTCCAGTTCATGACGCAGTTTGCTGCACGCAACGTGAAGATGGTCAATCGTTGTAATTCGCGCGCTAAAAATTCTCAACGAAAATATAACTACGATGCCGGCGCTGCACCGACAGCTTTGCGCGTTGCAGTGAACGCGTAGCTTCGTGCAGTTGGAGAACCGGCAATATCGATGAATGTTTTTAAGCAAACGCGTGATCCGCCCGATTTTCGAGCAAATATAAAAGCGCGGGACGCCACCACACACCGAGAGGAAATAACGCAATGTATCATTGGCGTATTCACTAGAAACACCTCAAACACCGACTGCACTTGAGTATCCATGCATCACCGGAATTATTAAACGGCCCCAAAAATGAAGCACCACATCGTTCACAACAGTTAAACGCAAATGTCTTTGCCGGGGACGAATAAACAAATCGCAGCGCGTCCGTCGTTTCACAAGCGCACACAACTACGAGTCGTCGCATCCGCGCAGAACAGTCATAAGTACGACCGAAAGACTCTGAGGCATTAAAATCCGAAGAGACGCCTTTTACGGCGATAAATATGTTTGCGCGATCGCTCTTCGCGCAACCACCCGGGTACAATGTCAAATACGGCACATGCAGCCATGTTTCTTTTCATTGTGCCAGTTTCCATTTTCCAACACTTCAGAATCTGTAGCGTTAGTGCTAAAGTTTTGGTTTCGACCGTCGTGGTTTCGCTTTACACGCGAAACTTCTGCGCGGACTTGCACGAATCAGGCGAAGCTTCGCCGTAAAGTTGATGTGTTCGCGCCGTATATTGTACGTGGTTTCGTATGGGGAAGTTTTCGATTGCGATCAAGTTCGATCGAGAGTTTGTTTATAGCGATTGGCGTATTTGCGCATAGTGCAGCGAGGAGAATTCTAGATCAAGAAATTCGATCCCCATTGCGACTTGATCAAGTAGCGACCAAAGGAAAAGGTTCAAACTGTAACTTTATTAACGAAGTTTGTTAGTATGAACTGTTGAATGTTGCAGGTACGTTAGAGAAGAAAGGGCGGGCGATGCCGATCGAGCGCTTCTCGGTCGTCTTGTGAAAGAACCAAAATCATAAACCGATGCCCATCGAAATGGAGATTTTAGAGGGCAGTGATGGTAGACAGCACGTCCAGCAGCTTCTTTTCGTCATCCGTCACCGCTCTCGCCGAGACCACGGACAGTTGTCCGGTTCGGTTCATGAAGCCGACGCAGCGAAGCATAGTGCCCATCCTCAGTTGTCCAAGAGGTCTGTCCATCTGGTAGAAGACACAGTTGACGCTCAGCTTTTCCTCTCTCAGCGTGAAATGCTTCACCAGACCTTGACGACTCCCTGTGGGCGCGTTGTTAAGCACGCCAAAGACTTCGCACACGCCACTTGTGTCTTTCGCCGTAGCCACCCCGTAACTGGGAATGCGAAATCCAACCGCTTCGTCGCTTATCGGTGCTTGTTTAGCTGTTGCGCGCACAGTGGGGGCCGAAGGTTGCCGTGGAGGGGTTGACTGAGTTACTGGCTGAGGATTGTGGAGGTTTCTGAAGGTCGGACGCTGTACTACTTGACCCGCTCTGCGAGCCGTCCCGTGTTGCGGTGCGTTGGACCACGATGGAAGTGGAGCGCGTGGTTGGGGATAGAACTTCTGTGGCTGCTGCTGCTCGAACTTAGGACTTGGTTTCTTCAGGATGCCGGGCCTAGGCCCATTCGACGCCGTATGAGCTCCTCGGCCTCTAGCTTGCGGAGCTGTAGCTCGAGGTGGTGCTTGACAAGGGGCACGGTGTAGGCGGTTGCTGACTCTGAGCGACGCGCGCCGTCGGAAATGGCCTGCCTCCGTACGGCAGCGTTGTTTGTCGCAGGGGTGGCTGTCCTGCCCCGAACTACTCTGCCATTTGCCCTCTGCATCACCTTTAGTTGAGTGTTCCAAAGTTACGGGAAACCTAATGTTTCTGTCGTCGAGAGATGCACACGCTGCTGACACTTGGCAACCAATCTGTCGTCTGCTTCCAATGGCTCGTTTTCATTATTTCAGTAAAAGTCCGAACTGGTGCCTAAACAGCTAAATTTTTTGTGTTCAGCAAAAAAAAAAAACTTAAGACTACATACATTTACTAGAGCGCTTGCAAACAAAACAACCTAAATACTTGTTTTTGCCATTTCCGCTACGAGGCGCTACGGTCTGTCGCGAGTTCGCAGTGGTCGTCGGTCATGTTTACTGTTGTTTTTCGTTGCTGACCGAAAAGTCGCGTCGGCCGATGACTTATTCGTTGATTCGCCGTCCGCTGATCGACAGCGCGTAGCTATGTGTTCCCCGGCGACGCCGACGCCAGCCCCGGCGAACCGACACAAAAGGCGACCCGCCGTCTGGGCGATTCGATGAGCGTTGTGACGAACAAAGGCGACCCGACGACGAGCAGGACTTAATGAAAGGAGCGTACTAATCAGCGTATCACTACAGTTCGTCTAGAAGGGAAAGCCCAGACGGGCGCCGTCAAAATTCTATTTCTTCCCCACGTCCTGCGATGCGTCTACGGACCCTTTCCAGGCAGAGGGGTGTGCCAAATTAAGCGAGAAGCCCGGAAACCGCCAGTCCGACGAAGCTGCTCGACGGAGAAGTCGTCGGGCATGTCACGTCTCGACGTTAGGCCTACTGCCACCAGACGCGCTGACTACTTGGACGGCAGTGTGTTCTCTGTTCCCGGATTACCATGGTTTTTCCTAGAGCCCTCGGCCCGTACCAGCTGCTGATGTTCTGAAGCGTCGAAATTCTGTCCCTCGAACATCGGTCAACCATGGGAAATTGCCTCAAATCGATGTCGTCGGATGACATCTCCCTTCTGAGGGATAATCAAGGCACAAGAGACTCGTCAGCTGATCAGCTCGGACCCCCGCCGCCTTACCAGGTGCGTGTTTTTTTCATATCGCTTCGCGATCTCTGCAAAACTTGAATTGCGTGGTTTGCTCTCGGGAAACTTTCGTTTTTCTTCTTAAAATGAGGGCGAGCTTTTCATCCAGCATTTTTGCGGAGGAGAGTCCCCCTGTGTAGACCAGTTGCGTTTCAGTTTCAGGGAACTGGTTGTCGACTCACTTGTCGTCATGCGCGACTGCCCGCTCTGTTCGGGTGTCTGTTTTTGTTTTACCTTTTGCGCGACCGGCAACCCTGGCGTCTCCTCGTAATGTTCTCTCCTTGTCCTAGCACGATTGTCATTGCAAAGCGAGGTCGTGTAGACGCTGTTAGCTGATGAGATCGCTGCAGCCACACAGCGCGCGTCACCAGATAGCCGTGACTTAGACATAGGCGCGGCGCTTGTAGAGCGAAACCAAAGCAACTGTTTAACCCTGAAAGTTTTCTTCTGCAGTCAAATGCTCGACTAAAGTGTACTTCGCTGGGGATCTGGACTTGTTTTGAGTCTTTTTACTGCTGAATTTCATAAACCCACTTACTGAGCGATTAGGCGTTTATTATTGAAGGAAGCAAAAACAAAATACAACAGAAAACTGCGTAGTTACAACACATCGCGTGCCCTGCGTAAGACGTCGCGTTTGTTTAGTTAGCCTAATTCTCCTATCTCTTTGTTTTCGCGTTATCTCTGCGTAGTAGTAGGTCTGTTTCTTTAGAGGGGAGGGGCTTGTTTTGCTTTTTTTTTTTTTGATCCTCTACTGTCTGGTGGTTGATTGTGCGCTATCTTCGTGCAGTAGCTCTGAAAATTACGCAACGGGTAAGGGCAGACGTCGGGGGTGGAGAGGAGGCAGTATTCTTGATGGAGGCTGCAGGCGCGGATCAGAGGAGCAGACAAAAATGAAAAAGTCAGCTGCTCGGATCGAGCAGCTGCTGCAAATCCCGCACTTTTTCGCACGCAACTCGCAGACGGCCGCGATGATGATGAGTCATGGAAGAGCGTGCAGTTTGCTGGGGTGGAATAACACCGCGGCTGCGGACGCGTTTCTAATTATGAAATTGTTGCTGCCCGCCCATGTTTTTTTTGTTTTTTTCGTCCGAACAGGCAGACGGATGGACTGTCGGTGTGTGCGAAAACGCGGGCTAAAAATGTAGCGGTGCATTGTGGGTGATCGTCAGCGTTGCTGGGAACTAGCAACTGGTGGAGATGGAGGGTGGCGGGGGGGGGGGGGGTAAATATTCAGAGCGTGACAGCACAGTTTCGGGCATTATTTCTTTAGGCGCTCTCGCCCCGCTTCTCACGTACTGCACATGCGCGGGGGTGGATTCTGCGTGCATGCGCCGTTTCTGAACATTGTGTATATAAACGTTATGTGCCGTCGGGGTCATTGGTATAGCGGTAACACCAAGCTAAACATAGTAAGTAAACAGACCTGTTCAAAGCGCGTCAAGAGTTGATGTTTTGAAGTTTGTGGTTGATATCAAACGTTACTTGCAATGTTACGTGGGAGAAGGGGGGGGGGGGGTAATCGCCGAATTGAAATGTGCGAAACCGTGATGTTAGACAGTCGTAACGACTGGCGACTCGTTGAAAAGGACGAGAACAGGACAGCGCAAATTGTCAACAAGATCCTTGTTTTTGCGATGTGCCAACTCCACCAGTGATGGAAGTGCTGCTCCGAAAGAGAAATGCTGTTCCTAATTGCAGTATTTGCTAGTAACTGCTCCAAATCTGCTCCGAAAAGATGCTGGCAATCTAAAAAAAAATGAAGTTGAACCGTGGGACCATTCCGTGAGCATAAGTGAAACCAAAACCAACCTGTGTATACACTGTCATCCAAGTATGCTACTCAGTGGCGTGAATCTAGAAATATCTCAAGGGGTGACACATATCAGGCCATGGTGCCCAATTCATAGCTTTAATATAGGTTGTATTGTTATTTATATGAGAGTTAAAATCATGCTTTCAAATAAAATCTAAAGAAACTAGCATGGGGTCCGAGCGATTGCATTGTTATATACAGTCACTTTTTTCATCTTTTTGGGGCATTCAACACAGGTAATAAAAATACCCTTTAAAAAGTTGATTGCGCTATACTCACCTGTTAACTAGGTTTTATCATGTGCTAAAGATAAATCTCAAGTGGGACACTTGCAAGGGTTCTACTCCCCAGCCTGAACACCAGAAAAGTCCGGACTCTCTTGCCCCCCCCCCCCCCGCCCATGATTTACGCCCATTATACTGCTGGTGTACTAGGTGCGTACTATCATAAGGCATGTTTAATAACAAATATAAATATTCATTGGATGCTTGAGTGATCTTTTAGACTTCGGGAGTAGTTTGGAGCATGCATCCCTAAGCTATAGCATTTTTGTTTTCTGACTCCGAAGGCACTTCAGGCTGCTCCAGAGCACCATTTTTTCTGCTCTTGAATCTGCTCCAAGAAGCAAAATGTCGCTTCCATCACTGTCCCGTGTGTCCGTGCGAATTCGCCGTATACTTCACACTTCCGATGCTTGTGAAACCATGGATTGCCTCTAGCTTGGTGGCGCTGCGCGATTGTTATTAGCCTCGTCTTCGCAATACGCCTTGTTCCAGTAATCAGCGTGCGAGTTGAATGTCACGAGAGCGTTGGGTTTCTCGTTATCTGTATTCTTTGAAACGCTCGCTGATTGGCGGCGTAAAGTGTACTCCGTGTAGCCGAGCCGCTTTCAGATCGGGATCGTTTGAGGCTACGCGCGCCAGCAGAGTCCGCTCGTATTTAATCGCGCGCTGCTGCCAAGCGCCGAAAAAGAGGCGTGACAGAACGTCAGTAAAATAAAGAAATAGTAGGCCTTGCTTTATCTGGAACACGGGGCCGAGCGAAGCTTGGCGCCGGCATCTCTGATGTGAAGTAGACCCTAGAAACTGTGGCTCGCCCCGCCCACCCCGGGGGTCTAGTGGCTATAGGGTACTCGGCTGCTGACCCGCAGGTCGCGGGTTCGAATCCCGGCTGCGGCGGCTGCATTTCCGATGGAGGCGGAAATGTTGTAGGCCCGTGTGCTCAGATTTGGGCGCACGTTAAAGAACCCCAGGTGGTCGAAATTTCCGGAGCCCTCCACTACGGCGTCTCTCTTAATCATATCGTGGTTTTGGGACGATAAACCGCAAATATCAATCCATCAAACTGTGGCTCTTACCTACACTGGGGGATTGGTCACGAACCGGTTAGCCATAAATGAAACTTGCCCCTGCAATTCCGATTCTCGCGTGTAGTTCCTGTGTAATACGTTGTTTAACAAAGCTTGAAATTCGGGCGCTACTTTCATCGTTACATGAAAGTGGCGCCCGTCCTGCCCTCTCGTCTTGTGAATGCCTCTCTCTCTCTCTCTCTCTCTCTCTCTCTCTCTCTCTCTGTGTGTGTGTGTGTGTGTGTGTGCGCGCGCGCGCGCGTGTGTTTTGAATCTCGCGAGATAGTGGTCACGGACACCGCCGGCGAAACGGCGCTATAGAATCGGCCCTTGTTGTGATCTCGTAACAGCTATCGCTGTAAAATGCGGCGGCAACGTGAGAGTACCGAGTCACCTCGAAGAAAAAAAAAAAGACCAGATTACCATATCATAAATGGCTGCTTGCCGACAAGCCCCCGATCGATAGACCAATTATCGGAAAAGCGGTGCATATATATATATATATATATATATATATATATATATATATATATACAAATAACGCACGCGACCGATGATGCGCCTTTCGACGGCCGTCTTTCTCTGCGCTCGCCGGCGTCGGATTTATCGCGTGCGTCACCGCCACTGAAGTGTGCGCTATTCATAAAAAAGAAGTCTGGGTGAAAAGGACAGGGTCCTTCTGATTTTCCATCTTGTCTTGTTCTTATCCGGTACTTCCTGAAGATAAGGCACAACTTGGCACTGCCGAATTTTTGCGAAAATTTACGAAGTACTCACGGCTTCCCTCAACGAGCAACGCTCACTACCTGCTGTTTATTGTGCGTTAGAGACCCCGTATACGTAAACGATGACACGCGCAAGCAGTCACCACCGATGAAACATGAGTGCAATAATCGACAAAAAAAAAAATACGCACGAGCAACGAAAAAAAGCCACCAAAAAAACTAACTATCAACACTCATTCTTGCAACGAAATAAACAATCGCAAAGACCAATATGGATCTGTAGTTTCGGTTAGGGTGCCTAGCCACTCCATTACGGTGCTCGGCTGGTGACCCAAACGGATGCCGTGGGTCCCATCCTGGCCGTGGAGGTCGCGTTTTGGGGTTGGGGGGGGGGGGGGGGGTGCGATGTCAGGGCACGTTAAAGAAACACCAGACAGTCGAAATTACCCGCGAAGTTACGGCGTATATCATAGTCATATCGTGGTAACATGTATGCTGTCGCGCTAGTTGGTGTGTAGCTGTGTAGTGTGCACTTTTCCGAGTCTCTTCTTTTGTCTTCTTTCGAGTTTGCGCCAACGATGTTTTACACAGCTTCGTTTCGTGGTGTTGGCGCGCAAAAACCAGCATTATTATTATTATTATTATTATTATTATTATTATTATTATTATTATTGAGACCTAACAAAAACACAAGGAAAGTATAGTTATTTGTTGTAATTATGACCCTAATGTTGTCTTACAAAAACAAAAATAATAATAAAAACCTTCGGATGTATCTTATTCATGTATTAATCATAGCAGGAGTTATGTAGGCTCCCAAAGACCCGAACCGGACAAGTTTACCCGGTTCCTGGAAGAAGGGACCTGCGACCCCCATCGACGTCAGAGACGCTGATATCGCTCTCCTTTCTCGAGATGCCCAAAATAGCCGATCGCATTCTGGTCCTTCTTATTTGTTGACCTATCGGATGAGCTTTTCTTCCCACAGCGCGCGTCTGTACTGCAGCGGGTGGGGGGGAAAACGGGCCCGCCGAGGAAAAAACAGGGTTGTAAAGACGATGTACACGGTTCGACGCATGTCGGCCGCGTCTTCTGCAAAGGCAAGAAC